CATACCATACCACGCCATACCATGCCACACCACACCACACCACGCAAAACCACACCACACCTCACCCCACCACGCAACACTACACCACACCATACCACGCCACACCACGCCACACCACGCAACACCACACCAAACAACGCACCTAACTAAGCTACACAATAACACATCATATGTTACCCAATTATATACCTGTCCGGCGAGTTCTAATCTTTTGTTGCCATAGTAATCTCTATCGTCTACATGTGCCTTTAACAAATCACAGTTCACCGTAAGCTAATGCCATTCTGAGGTTGAGGGAATAACTGGGTCGAGTTGGCATCGCAGTGCATTGTGGGCTGTTTTTGGGAAATATGTGCCCTAAAATAGTGTCACAATATGAAGTGCTCAAACAGTGCTCACCTCGTTGGCAGATGCTAGAATTACACGTCGAATCATCAGTGCCATGTACACGCACTTCGTTCTGTAGTTATACTGATGGACCTGAAAAAAACAAAACCCACAAATTTCATCACCTGAAGAACTCTTGGAAGCCTCAACTCGGTCTCTTCATTCACTTGGTAACACTGACTCAAAAAGGATACAAGTAGAGAATAGAGGTCTATTTCTCCAAAAGAAATAATCTGAAATAATCTTTAATCTTGTCTCAAATAGAAGTGTACAAACATACAAACGATCGAAGAAACGAACGAACGAACGAATGAAAAAAAAATGAAAAAAAAACTACAAGCAAACAATTAAACGAAACCAAACAAACACAACAAACGAACGAACAAACGACGAACAAAAAAAAAACCGGCCAAAACGAACACAACAAACGAAGGAACAAACAAACAACTGAACGAACGAAGAACGAACGAACAAACGAAGGAACAAACAAACAACTGAACGAACGAAGAACGAACGAACAAACGAAGGAACAAACAAACAACTGAACGAACGAAGAACGAAGGAAGAACGAAGGAACAAACAAACAACTGAACGAACGAAGAACGAAGGAANAACGAAGGAACAAACAAACAACTGAACGAACGAAGAACGAAGGAACAAACAAACAACTGAACGAACGAAGAACGAAGGAACAAACAAACAACTGAACGAACGAAGAAACGAACGAACGAAAGAAAAAACAAACAAACGAAACCAAACAAACACAACAAACGAACGAACAAACTAACAAAAAAAAATCAAAACAATCAAAGCAAACATAACAAACGAAGGAAGAACGAAGGAACAAACGAAGGAAGAAACAAACAACTGAACGAGCGAAGAACGAACGAAGGAACCAGAAAAAAACTATAAAGATAAAACAACAACAACAACAAATGAACGAAAGAACGAACGAACGAAAAAGCAACAAAAAAAACAAGAAACAATCAACACAAACAAACACAACAAACGAACAAACAAACAAATGAACGAAAAGACGAACGTAAAGAAAAGGAATAAACAAATCAAGCTCGTAAGAAAAGAACGAACAACAACATAGACAATCACCAAGAATCTTCCAGGTTAGAGTGTATGTGTAGTGTTTAAGACAACTTTCATAGGAAATCCTTACATACATTCTTGTCTTGGTCGAGTACTGTACTTACAGGTATGTGTGCGAGGAGAACGTGAGCCAACAATTCCCTGGCTTCATCCACTTTGCTTCTTGATTTGCCCCAGGTGGCTCGCACACGCACCTTCTTACCCATGTACTTTAAGGCCTGCAATTGAATACAACAGCCATGCTTAATGACAACAGCACAATGATGATGTTGTATTTTGCATAATTTACAACAAACATCATCAACATGAATCAACATCGCCATCAACATTTATATCACCATCACTATTATCTTAATTGTCAGCACAAATTATCCTACAAGCGGCATATARCGGGCACGCCATCCATGCTACACCATCGCCTGACGAAGACTAACAGTTGGCAGTCCAAACATTGCAGTCCTTTAATCACGATACAAAATAAAAGAATAAAAGTATTTATTACGATACGCCTTTTCCGATACCACCAAAAATGGTTTGAAGTTTAACTGAACTTGATTCTTTTATTCATCAACTCCAACCTCGACTTGAAACCATTGTTTCTTGATCAGTGAAGGCGGCTAATATTTTATTCTATTGAATATTATTTATAATTTTCATTACTTTGTCAAAGTACTATAGCATTGCTGACATTAGAGGGTACATGGCAATACTCAAAATAAGGGTTGCCTCACCTGTAGTTGTGTATATATCTGTAGTTTATGGCATTCTTCAAGTGAAGGGGTAAAATTACCCACAATATCCTCCTCACAACCAACCATCTGAACAATCTCTTGCTCACTTTCTAGACCCATGGCCTTGAAAATAACTACRACAGGAAGGTCCTAGTACAAACATAATTAGAATGATATCAATCTCATGAATTCTCTGATCTATATTGATGACTGTCATTCATTGATCCAATATATTCTAATGCTTGGTATCAATTAAACCAGCTGAATCAATCACATAAATCTCATTACCAATTACCCAATTATGTAGGTGGTTTCAACAAGTTAATATTCTATTGCTCGGTATCAATCAGATAAAATGTATCTACATGTAATGTATCTTATGACTCCCTTTAGGATTAGTAATAGCTGATAGTAATATCAAACAATAATGGATAAGATGAATAATAATAATAATAATAATAATAATAATAATGATAATAATAATAATAATAATAACTAAAGTCTATAACGTGAAGAAACTGAAAGGTGAAGAAGAAGATCTGAAATGTAAGCTTTGCCAATCTGGAGATGAGAGCATTGCACACAT